TTTTTGGGGGTGAGATCACGTAAATATATGAATGTGTCGTTAAAAACCCACCACCACCTGACACGGCCAACTAGTGAGGGTTGTCACGTAAACAGAACGTGCCAATTCGTCACAAGTACAACACTAGTGTATAGTAGTGTATATTGGTGTAGTGTATAGTGTAGTGTGTAGTGTAGTGTATAGTGTAGTGTATAGTGTAGTGTATAGTAGTGTAGTATATAGTGTAGTGTATAGTAGTGTAGTGTATAGTATGTAATGTAAAGTGGTGTATATAGTGTAGTATACTAGTACAGCACTATCCGGTTGTGTGTTGGGGAGCCAAGCCACAACATTTACAATCCGAGTACGACGTTTCGCCAGTAATTACAACCAGCTTCATCAGGCGACAGCCCAACCCCCCCCCCCTCTATTATGGATGATATTGCCTGCTACGTGTTAGACTGACAATGAATGCTGAAACCAGTTCCTCACCGATACATATCTGGGCAGTTTGACAGCATCGGCTCAACCCAACCTGACTGATGCTGATGATACCAAGACTGCTGAAACCAGTTCCTTGCCTCGTTGTCCTTTCGCCACCCCCCCCCCAGGCACCTCCAATGGGCATGGTTGGCTACGTACGGTGCAAAAGAAGTGCAACGTACGTACACGCACAGTTGATCAGCATTGGTCTCGGCAAGCCCGCATCTGCTGGTGAGACACTCGAGGTCAAAACCGCCCCCGGGTTTTTGCCTGCGTTGGCGTCAACGCAGATGGCACGATGCACTCCCAGAAGGCCGTGTGGCTACCAGGATGCGTATTTTATACCTTGGAGTGACTAACACGCGAAAGAGAAGTACTTTAAACACGTAGGCTTTCGCGACCGATATTATTCATGATAAAGGATTTTGGGTTAGATCGCGTAAGTATAAATGTGTCGTAACCCTCCACCACCCCACACAGCCAATGAGTGTACTTGTCCGCTGATTTATTTTGCAACGTCTGCACAACAACGCGAATGAACACTTGGTTTACTCGTTCAACGTTCTTACAATAAAAAAAACGCCGATGATAATCTTAATAATTGCTGTGCTCTAACTCACTCGCGTTAGCCCGGGGCTTTCATCCACAAGCAGACACACATCGAGGCCCGTGTGTGCATTTGTGACAACGATGAATCAAGCAAGGGCGTTACAAGACGCCGTTTTTAAACATCGGTGCCACCTTCCCTCGACCAAACAATGAAGAGGCACGCATTAAAGCATGAGACAAAGATCCCCCATATAGCCTTAGACTGTTGGGGCAAGGGCTGTTTAGAGAGCACCTGTCAAGGCCGGCGCAGCTCACAAAGGAGTGGGTGGCCAGCACCACGCCCGGCCGCCTTTGTCTCCCCAGTGGCGATCTTTACACACCGCTACACCAGGTACTCATTTGAGGCCGAGTCGACCTACACACACTCACTGCGGCATGCAGAGGTGCGGCCCGTCCTAATCACGTGGCGTGCAAACCGGCGATAGAAATAGCGCGCAAGCCACAGCTTCGCATCGTGCGGGCTTGGCTGGGGTTAGGGGCATGCTAAAGATCATTCTAACGTCATCCGCCAAGGCTACGAGGACATTGTGTGGCCGGGTTCACGGTCCAGATCGAGAGATTACATTGTAAGCATCTCGGTTGGGAACCACACGCACACACACATTGCGGCAGCAGGCGTCAAGCGTCACGCCATCTCACCTCCTTGCTGTGAAAACGTGGCAGGATCACCGTGACCAGGGAGCCAAGTGACTCGGCGAGGCTTCCCTGTGCCAATAATCGGAGTCGCGATAAGAATTCAGCAGTCGTGGACTGAACCGAGGTCCAAATCAAACGCAAATGTGTTAAACGGAACGTTGCGAGACATCTCGCGCTAGCTTCGACCAGTCGCCTCCCACTGCCATATCCGTCCCACAATGTCGACCATAAAAGTCGATCTTCGCTGGTGTTTTCACACATCCCGTCAGCCCGGTGTGGACGCTCCCGTGCTGCGTGTACAGAACCTGAACACGTGTCACTGGGCGGGAGGGGGGGACGCGAGGGAGGAGAGGGCAGAAGACGCGGTTTCGGAACATAGCGTCATCGTAATACTGACAAAAAAACCAGTTTGACCGGTGGAGCAAACTATACTAATATAATTATAACTGGAACTCTACAAGCCCGAACAACACAAATAAAGTTGGGAGTGTAACACCTCATCCTCATGTCGGTCTCTCTAAATTAAACATAAATATGACTTTACTCTCTTGCGCATCTCATCACGAGCCAGGCACGGCCTTCTCTCTGGGGGAGTTGCGTCCAAACCAGCAGCATGGCGGTCTCAACACGAGCAAAAGTGGAGTATAAGTGGGGACCGGTTTTGTGAGATGTTAACGACCTCGCCCGCGATACAGGAGGTCGGGCGTCTGGGTCAGACCCTGACGCCTGCTGCTGTGCATGTGGAGTTGGCGGGTCTCGCTCCCCGTGGATATTACTCAGGGTCTTACGGGTTTCCACATCCACATTTAGGATTCAACAATCACGCGTTGAGGGTTGTTGGCTGCTATAAAGTTGCACACGACGATAGTGATGATGACGATGATGGACAAGCCCCTTCTCGTTGGGCGACAACTTGTGATGGGCAGGTCGCTTCTGACAAAGAGCTTCACAAACTCAGTGGGGCCTTTGGGGCCGTCCATAAATGACGTCACGCGATTTTGGACGATTTTTGACCCCCCCCCCCTTCGTCACACGGCGTCACAATGTCAGACCCCCCCTCAAATGACGTCACAAAGCTCTGCCCCCCCAAACATAAAACATGCTTCAAATCGCTCTAAACTATTGTCATTGTAGTGCGTATTTAATGTGGCGCTGCACTCTGATGTTGTAGGAGGAAACATTTATTAAAAAGTATATTTATTCAATTAGAATGTGTTGTCTATTTATTTAAAGGTGCGCATTTTGATGTGACGTCACATTTCTCACCCCCCTCCCCCCTCGTCACACATCGTCCCAAATGTCTGACCCCCCCAGGTGGGTGACGTCATTTATGGACGACCCTTTATCTGGTACAATAAAAAAGTGTTTATTTCAGTTTAGCGGCCTTGCTTGTTCAACCGATGCTGGCGAACATTTGTATTGGGTGTAATAGCGAATAACAATCCATCTCATCGACACAACCATGGTTCACTTTCCTCGGTGGTGATCGGCAAAAGCCCCCACCACCCCACTCTCTCTGTGGTAGAATTGCGTCCCGCAGTTGACACAAAACGCTGCAGAGTAAAACATAGCAACAATAACATGGCCATTGGCGCCATCGTGTGGAATACAACAAGCACAGCAACACAGACAAGCACAGCAACACAGACAAACACCCTCACCCACTCCCTTCCTAGACGTCACCTCCCCATCGTCTGTCTTATGGGGGGTTCTTTTATTTCACACATCAGCCACACGATATTCTGCGTGTGTGGGCGAGTGCATCGTAAATCGTCACAAATCATCATAATTTAAATCAAATTTCGATTTAAAGCTTTCGTGACTGCAGGGATTCATCTTCTTGGTTCTTTCGGTAAAGTCACGTAGAAGGGAAGTAATAAAATAATAAAAATAAAACATTATAAAATAATTCTCACGACGTTTCGGCTTGCGTTGTGGCCGAAACGTCGTGAGAATTATTTTATTAGGTTTTATTTTTATTATTTTATTACTTCCCTTCTACGTGATTTTACCGTAAGAACCAAGAAAATTTAAATCAACTTAAGGGAATTTGGCTCTGACGGTGGGCGTCCCATCGCCGGCCATGCGCTGGTGAGGTGCCAAGACGTTGGGGGGGGGGGGGGATCTTGATCTGGGTCTCTCCGTCTCTGAGACACGGGGGCCTGGTTTGGAGTGGGCCACATGGCAAGGGCTAGCAGAGGCGCGCACACAAAGACAAAGATCCCCCGTGTAGCCTTAACATGCTGTTGGGGCAAGTACTGTTAGCGAGCACCTATGAAGGCCTGCACGGCACACGAGGGGGTGGGTGGCCAGCACCACGCCCGGCCGCCTTTGTCTTCCCAGTGGCGATGTTTACTCATCGCACCAGGTACTCATTTGAGGCCGAGTCGACCTAGGGGAGGCCCACGACCGGTTCAGATAATCCTCACCGGTGTTGGCCATGAGCGGGAATCGAACCCGGGTGGCCAGGTTCGTAGCGCAGCGTAGCGCTAACCACTACACCACCGCTCCCACACACTAACACACCTGTGACTTCTGTAGATCACAATGTCTGTGCATTTTCATACCCACGCATACCTGTGGCTTCTGTAGATCACAATGCCTGTGTATTTTTGACCCACACACACCTGTGGCTTCTGTAGATCACAATGTCTGTGTATTTTCATACCCACACACACCTGTGACTTCTGTAGATCACAATGTCTGTGTATTTTCATACCCACACATACACACCTGTGGCTTCCGTAGATCACAATGTCTGTGTATTTTCATACCCACACACACCTGTGGCTTCTGTAGATCACAATGTCTGTGTATTTTCATACCCACACACACCTGTGACTTCTGTAGATCACAATGTCTGTGTATTTTCATACCCACACATACACACCTGTGACTTCCGTAGATCACAATGTCTGTGTATTTTCATACCCACACACACCTGTGGCTTCTGTAGATCACAATGTCTGTGTATTTTCATACCCACACATACACACCTGTGGCTTCTGTAGATCACAATGTCTGTGTATTTTCATACCCACACACACACCTGTGACTTCTGTAGATCACAATATCTGTGTATTTTCATACCCACACACAAACACCCGTGACTTCTGCAGTTCACACTGTCTGTGTGTGTGTGTGTTTCCACACCAACAATCACACAAGAGGTGGGGGGAGCGGTAGTGTAGTGCCTGGTGCGGTGTGTAAACATCGCCAGCTCGAGGAGACAAAGGCGGCCCGGCGTGGTTGCTGGCCACCCACCCCCTCTGGTGAGCCGTTCTCACCTCCATAGGTGCTACTCGCTAACAGCACTTGCTCCAACAGTCAGTGAAGGCTACACGAGGTGGATCTTTGTATTTGTTTCACACACACACACACCTGTGGCTTCTGTAGCTCACAATGTGTGCGTGTGCTTTCACACCCATTCGCCCCCAGGTAACACGGAGCTGCCATCATCACCACCACCACCACCACTCTGGTGATTATTCACAGTCGTGACCCACGCCCCGAACATTCCACTCACAAGGCGGACGCAGCAGCAGCAGCAGCTCCACGCTAGGGGTGCACGTACAGTGTGGAGTGTGAACGGTGTCGGATCGTAAATCACCTGCAAATCAATCTGTTGGACACCACACAAAAGCGACATTAGTTAAATTAACCATCCCCACCCACCCACCCCCTTAGTACAAACAAAACTTGGCCAAGCCTCTCAAACATAAAAACCACACGCACACGAGTCAAGCGAGAACATGAGCAATGCCATCTGTAGCCAAATTGGCACCTCGAGCAAACTCTTGCGAGTCTTTGGAGCCTGTGGCAATCCGAGAGAGACGGCCTTCACCCCCTTATCAATGACTACATTAGTATACATTCAGACCTTAGCGGTCAACCCGTGCCCCTTAAAGCTCAACGTCCATCCGACAAAGTCCCATCGCAAGGGATAAACAAAGGCTGAACCATGCTTGCCCGCATTGCAACGGCTGTAACGCCGTATGGACCTGAAAACACTCAACTTCCCTGTACAAGAATACGCGCTAAGCCGTGCGAGTTGACACGGTGTGAGCTGGCGAGAGAGTCGGCGACACAGAGGCAGGGAATCTTCGCTTAGAACACAGCCAGGCGAAGAGCAAGGCACCACCACGCGGAGAGGGATGACGCGACTCTTTGTCCCCAACCCAGCCAGGTACGGCCCCGTGCTGCAGACCCCACGGCCAAAAACAAAACCAGAAGCTGGACAGAGACCTGGAGGGGGGGGGGGGTGTTGGAAACCCAAAATAACAACAGAAGACATCCCAACCCCTCCCCCTCCCCACCGAAACTCGGTTCATATGTTTAGATGTGTGTATGTGTGTGTGTCTAAAAAACAAGCCTCAACATGTCAATTGCCGCAATGCACGCACGGCGAGAACACCAGATGGTGGTGGTGGGTGGTGGTTGCTGGTGGTGGTGGGTGGTTGGTGGTTGGTGGTTGGTGGTGATGGTGGTGGTGGTGGTGATGGTGGTTGGTGGTAATGGTGGTGGGTGGTGACCCCCCACACCACTCCTCACCCCGCCACTCTCTCTCTCGCCTGCAGGGGCTCTGGGCCGGCTCTCACCGTGCCGGAGGTCGCCGCTGTTTGGTAACGAGCCGACGGCTCCCCTCTGTGCGTGCCCCCTAACACCTCCAACACCACCGCCTCGGTCCACCATATACGTGGAGAGGAGGTGGATGGCTGGTGAGTGGGGGGGGGGGGAAGAGGATGATGATGATGATGCGATGTTTGATGGCCCCACCACCGCCACGCGTGTGAACGACGCCGAGGCCGGTGACCGGAACGACGGGCACGGCCCGTGGCGTGGGGTCTGGCGGGGTCTGGTGGGGTCTAGTGGGGGTGCTGGGGGAGACCCCCGGGGGGAATGGAGGCGGCTCGGCTGTGTCAGGCCCCAGACCATCACGGCCAGGCTCGCTCTCAAATCGGCTGCGCAACGCCATCACACAGCCAGGGGTTGATCGCCACGCAGGAGATACACGTACCACCACCACCACCACCGTTCCGTGAGCACCTGCCAAGGGCGAGCACGGAACAAGAGGAGGGGCGAGCCAGACAGCAACACACCACGCACGGCCGTCTTTGTCTCTCTACCCGGCGAGAACGAAATCCAAAACTCGCGTTCGGGTGGGCACCGGGTACTCGTTTGAGGCCGAGTCGACCTAGGGGAAGGGCCAGGACCGGTTTCAGACAGCCCCTCACCTGGTGTTGGCACGCGAGCGGGAACGCGGTCAACATTCCTTCGGAGGTATTCAGAGTGGGAGCTGCGCGCGCTTTGACATCGCAACGTAAACTCCGACGAGCTCAAGGTGACGGCCACGCACAACACACACGCACACGACACACGCACACACACACACACACGCACACACACACACACACGCACACACACACACACACGCACACACACGCACACACGCACACACACGCACACACACGCACACGACACAAGGACAAAGATCCCCCGTGTAGCCTTCACAGACTTGTCCATGGGCAAGTGCTGTTGGGAGCGAGTAGCAGCCACACCGATGAAGCCCGGGCACTGTGGGTTGAGAGTGTGGCCAGCAGACACGCCCGGCCGCCTTTGTCTCCCCGGGTGGCGGAGGAACGCACAAAGCGCCACAGGAGGAGGAGGGGTCCCCCCTCCCCCCGAGTCGGTAATGTAATCTCAGGGTTCTCACCCCCTTGTGTCACCCACACCGCATCGGCCACAAATTAAAGACAAAGATCCCCTCCCACCCACCCCCCACGTGGAGCCTTTCGAGGACGTGAAGGGGCAAGCGCTGCGAGCGAGTAGCAGCACCACCGATGCAGGGTAACAAGTGGGAGTGGGTGGGAGTGAGTGGGTGGGAGTGAGTGAGTGGGTGAGTGAGTGAGTAGGTGGGTGAGTGAGTGAGTGGGAGTGAGTGGGTGGGTGGGAGTGAGTGGGTGGGAGTGGGTGGGTGACGAGGAGTGGGTGGGAGTGAGTGGGTGGGTGTGAGTGGGTGTGAGTGGGTGGGTGCGAGTGGGTGTGTGAGTGGGTGTGTGAGTGGGTGTGTGAGAGTGAGTGGGTGAGTGAGTGGGTGGGGGTGGGGGGGTGTGTGGGGGGTAGCACCACGCCCGCCCAAGACCACCGCCCGGAGCGCGTGCCCGCGTCTCTCGCGGGGGTGTTACGCGCGCGTGCGCGTGCGTGCCTACCTACGCACGCACCTGTGGGTTGCGCAACTATTCCGAGCACAATCTGACGGGACGGAAATAACCGCTGCGGACAGCTCACGCTGGAGTATGTGGTGGTGGTGGTGGTGGGGGTTCAGAACACGCCCGAGCTATTCATTCACCGCCGATGTCATCCCATCGCGAGAAAGAACACAAGCCCATTCACCGCACGCGATTTACGAATCAGATAACGTATTTGCTCGGGTAAGACTACTACTATTATTATCATCATTATTTGAGAGCTATCGCAAAGGACTGTGGGCTGCGTCTTTTAACATTCCTTTGGCGAGGAGATGCACGTGGCAGCGTTTGAGGGGCCCAGCCACCGCGTGTCCAAGCAGCTTCCGTTTGGCCACAGAGCTTCACCGAATGCCGACACGGGCTAGAGAAGAGATGGAGTGACGTGGTACAGGAGGATGTGAAGGCCGAGTGGACTTGCCGATGACTGGTACCAGCGGTGTCAAGATCGGCCTCTGTGGAGGAGGCTCGTGAAGGACGCTACTGGGCAGTTGGAGGCAGTCGCCCTCCACAACAACGGATGGCGGAGGAGCGACGCTCACAACAACGAGCGGAGTGCCAGACGGATAAAATACATCAGTTGGCACAGTAGGGGTCACAGCTGGTGCATCGGCCCGCCATCTCAGCCAGGACAACCCACGGCACCTGCTGGGTCAGTCCCATGACCTCCTGTCAGCAGGGAGTCTTCGACACTTCACGTGGCTTCATAGTGCACCTAGCCTGGCACAGCCGCCGTGGTGACCCCACCGTCACTTGGCGGCGAACGGCGCTGGCTATTGCTGTTGGGCCTGCCTGCTGTTGGTGGTGGTGGCGATGTTCTGATGATGCGGCCGTCGATCTCCACCCACAACCCAAGCACGACGTCAATGTTGTGACCGAGAGAGAAGAAGATCGTTGTCAAGGCCGCCAGCTGATCCCCTCGGCAGACTCTGGGTCACGATTCCTCGTCCTCTCCGGCTCCCATGTTTGGCTCCGACTTGCGTCATCTCACCTCCGCGTCTATTGACGCCTCGCTCCGTGGAACGCATTGTGATTGTGTCGGCGTTCGGCGGAGCTCCGTGTATATTTAGCTCCAGATCTTTGCACGATAACGTCACGACTCCACGGGGTTTTGCAGGTGACATAGTTATTGATTTCGTTAACCTCCCCAACAGCAAAACAACCCATCCAGGTTTCGTCTATCGATATTTAAAAGTCTTTTGGAATGGACCCAACAGACTGGCAAACGGACTATAGGACCCCACATTCACATCCATGATAAAGAGCTTCACAGCTCATCGGATTCTTCCGGGATAAACGAGTCAAGACATTCAGGCGTGGTTTTTGTAATCTTCTCTGCAGCCAACAGTTATGATAGAATATACGGCTGTGAGCATTTGTATCCAACTTACCGGTGAAGCGTTAGCGTCAGTTGACAATGTAACAACATAGAATAATAATAGTAACAATAATAGTAATAATAATAGTAATAATAATAATAGCAATAATAGTAATAATAATAGTAATAATAGTAATAAAAGTAGTAACATAAATAAGCAGTTGATGCTCCTCCCTCGAAAATCTGTCCATCAGCCGCACGGCATTCTGGGAGTGCGGAATCACAGCAGCATCGACCCAAGACGAGCAGAACTCGGGAGCGGCTTCGACTAAAGGGGCCGGCCATAAATGACGTCACGCGATTTTTGACGATTTTGACCCCCCCCCCCTTCGTCACGTGGCGTCACAAAAAGTCAGACCCCCCCCCTCAAATATGACGTCACAAAGCTCTGCCCCCCCCCCCAATAAAACATGCTTCAAATCGCTTTAAACTATTGTCATTGTAGTGCGTATTTAATGTGGCGCTGCACTCTGATGTTGTAGGAGAAAACATTTATTAAAAAGTCTATTTAATTAAGTAGAACATGTCTATATTTATTTAAAGTTGCGCATTTTGATGTGACGTCACATTTCTCACCCGCCCCCCCCTCGTCACACATCGTCACAAATGTCTGACCCCCCCCCCCCCCAGGTACGTGACGTCATTTATGGACGGCCCCTAACTCTGCCGTTGAGACGCTGAACGTTGAAACCGGCCCACGAGATCGTCTCGAATCGCTGAACAAGAAGCGCTCCCAGAAGGCCGCGCGCAGCTGGCCGATGAGTCGTGGAAGAATTTTTTTTCATTTCATTTCTTCACGTGCAGCGGCGGATTTGCCAAAGCGACGTCTGCTTATTTACTTTTGCCGAAACGAGAATGATCGGCACGTGACACGCCCGCTCGCGCGCGCTGCTAATCAAGTTGTTTACTGGGTAGTGGTGATTCTAGATTTGAAGCTTTCGTGACTGCAAGGGTTCATATTCTTAGGGTTTTTTCGGTCAAGTCACGTAGATAAAAAAT